AGAGCGAGACTCTGTCTCAAAAAAAAAAAAAAAACAAAACCCTGAAAACAGGAAAGGCTTGAGTGTTCAGAAGTGAATGGTGGTTAACCACGCAATCACTAAGGCTCGGTCAGGGAGTGTGTTCAAAGAGCTTGCAGCGAAACACTCAATTCTGTCTACACCTCAAAATCTTCCTGGAATATGTGTGTATATATATATATATATTTGGAAGTTTAGTTACCTCTGAGCCACCCATCACCATCAAAGTGTGGGGGAATATATATGCTATACATATATATAATAACACAGCAGCCCTGCATGCCTAGCCATAGGGAAGCACAGCCTCCAAAGGATAAGGAAAGCTCTTTGAGTAAATACAACATCCTAAAGCGACAGTCTTTGAAACAAGGCCGTTTGCCTGTTGCTAAGTCCTGTCGTTCCAGGACTGGCTGTCACAGGCCGGATGTTAACAGTCGCATTCTCAGACCCCTGCCTCTGTATCTGTCTCCTGGTTCACCAGCAAACACTTCTCTGAGAAACCACCCGGGTGCAGGGCAGACACCACCACTCAGCAGATGTTTCTCTCATGTGCCACCAACCTGGGAAAAATGGAGAAAGCTTGCTTTGGGGGCTGGGAGGATGGGGTATTTAAAACATTTGCTCTTCTGCAGCGCCTTTCAAAAGCTCTATCAAGAGCCCAAAGCAAAAGGAAAGACGCGTACCCATCTGTACACTGAGCAAATATCCTCGCATATTTTGAACCAGGTGGGAAAAGTTAATAAAAGCCCTACAATCAAGAAACATGACTGTGAAGCCCACGCTGCCAGTGTTTGCACACCATTGCCAACTCTCAGAAACAATCCATCCCATTGCACGGAAACATGGGTTTTGAAACACACGGCAGCCTGCTTTTATTTAAAGCCGTGATTCCTTGCTTATCATAGATTTTTTCATAATTTCGTTTTGGAAAATACTGCACACAAATATTACTCGATCACTGAGTTTGTGGATTGTGGGCACTTCCTTACATTTTGCACCCTTGAAAATGCCTCCCCCTCCTCCAGGTCAGGCTCCCTGGAATGGGGTATTTAGTGTCATTTCCAGAGACGAGCTGGCAGTTGGCTGTTCCCTCGGAGAGAAGCCCGCAGTAACAGTGACACCAGCCCGCACTGTGGAAGGGCTTGCTACATGCAGTGCCCTGAGCCAAGTGTTCCACAGACATTATCTCATTTGAACCCCATAGCAGCCCTGGAAGGAGGCATTAGGTGGGGAACCGAGTTGTCCTAGGGAGTCAGTACCAAGATGTGGTCCCCGGATGCGGCCTCGTCACTCACGGCCCCGTGCTCCTCGGCTCCCACCCACTGCTGCTTGACAGTCGTTTTAATCACTACCTGGGCTGCGGTGAACAATGCCAGGCTCTGATAGATCCTGCTGTCTTCATTTCTCAACCTAGTTTCCCTTAACTGATATTTCATGGCTATTGTTAATGTGCATTTTTCACTGAGTAATTTCCACAGCCCGAACTTGTAACACATCCCAATGACAAACGTCCCTGGTTCGGAAGTCCCCGTCAGCGGCAATGTCACCCTTGCCGCTGCCTCGACACCTTCCGACAGCCCATTCAGTTTTATGATTGCCCTGTCCCAGTGATCACTACTGAACCTTTAAGAATCCAGATGCATTTCAAGTTTAATTGAATAAAATTCTTTGTATAATGAATTCCGCGTGAATGCTACATAAATCAGTGCCTGGAAGGATTTGTGGCTCATGCCTCCCCTCTGGCGGGGCCTGGGAATCTGGCAATACCGACACAAGCTGGAATAAATGCGTCTTTGCAGTCAGTCCAGCTAGGGGAGGGTGGCACAGTTTGAACTTGCCTTGGCCTATTGCTTTTCTTCTCTGTGAGTCCTCCTGGAAGATGGTGCTAAAGTCCCACAGAGGCAGGGACAGGCAGGTTGCGGAGACCTAGAAACTTTGGGGACGTCCCTCGTGTTCTCCCATTCCACAGAATCAGAAACTTCTCAAGCTGTGGTTTGTCACCTTTGGAATGCACACACACACATTCACAAATTTGCATCCAGTCGTAGGAAGTCCAAGGAACCTCCTGGTAAGAATCCATTTTCTAAGGGAACCCATGCAACCCTCTTTGGGAGCTAAGCTGGGATTCCCAAGGCCACCTTCAGCAGCCTGTTTCAGGGTCAGATAGCCCCAGCCTGGAAGTGTGAGAAGGTGCACTCGGGGCTGGCTGGGAGAGGCTGCCGGGTGACCTTTGATGCTTGTAGGGTTGTGGGGTGTGGGGAAGGACTGTCAAACAGCTGGCTTGGGCATTGGTCCCAGGCAGGCTCAGGTTCAAGGCCAGCTCTGTCACCTCCTGCCTTGGTGACTGGCCAAGTCATTCCATCTCTCTCGGTCTTGCTCCTCCATCTGTAGAATGGGAATCGTAACATCCACCCTGTGGGTCACTGGGATTGTTTAATGAGGTAATACTTAAAAGAGTAATATCACCCCCTGGCAAATGTTAACTCCTGTTATTACGGTTGTTTGCTATTATTACTATTTGAATTCAGATTCCATCTTTGTCACTTCCAGCATCTCCTTAAGCAAATGGTTGAACCACTCAAAGCCTCTTTATCTTATAATGCGATAATAATACCAATTTCCAAGAGTTCAGAAATAAGCCCACAGGCCCCAGACATGATAGCAGCTCCAAAAAAGTAGCTATTGTTGTTCAGTCATATTTGACCCTTTCGAAAGCACGTTCTAATAGCTCATCCCCAGGTGATGCTGAGGACAGCCTGGCAGCGCCTCTGGTCCCTCAGGCTTGCCGAGAGGGTGGGGGAGACAGGTGGCCTCCAGAGGTGGCCAGGCACAATCAGATGAGAAGCAGGGATGTGGCTCCAGCAAACAGGGCAGAAGTGAAAAGGAGAGTGACTTGCAGAACAATGAGAGCTGAGCGCAGTCTCAGACATCATTGCTCTCATTTTATAAATGAGGAAACTGAGGCCTGGAGAGGAGAACTTTTTTTTTTTTTTTGAGATGGAGTCTCGCCCTGTCACCCAGGCATGGAGTGCAATGGCTCACTACAACCTCTGCCTCCCGGGTTCAAGTGGTTCTCCTGCCTCAGCCGCTGAGTAGCTGGGATTACAGGTGCATGCCACCACCCCCAGCTGATTTTTTGTATCGTTAGTAGAGATGGGGTTTCACCATGTTGGCCAGGCTGGCCTCAAATTCCCGACCTCAGGTGATCTGCCCGCCTCGGCCTCCCAAAGTGCTGGGATTACAGGTGTGAGCCTCAGTGCCCGGATTTTTTTTTTTTTTTTTTTTTTTTGAGACCAAGTCTTACCCTGTCACCCAGGCTGGAGTGTAGTGGCGTGATCTCAGCTCACTGCAACCTCCATCTCCTGGGTTCAAGTGATCCTCCTGCCTCAGCCTCCTGAGTAGCTGGGATTATAGGCGTGCACCACGATGCCTGGCT